TTTGCGTTCCCTCGCAATACTTTTGCGTTACCTCGCAATATTGTTTTGCATTACCTCGCAAAAGTTTTCTTTGTATATGAACTGAATTAAATCAGACTTTTATTTCGAAATTTCCGGTTACCAAAACAGGATGTGTCACCACAAGTTCGTGAAATTGACATTGATGTTGCGTGGCTGCACTGTGTTAAAATATCGGCATATGACACACTTCCATGAGTGGTTGTGTGATATATTCATTCTGAAGCTGAATTAAAGCAGTAGGCTAACTCGCTAATGGTGAACATGTGAGTTTGTTAATAAACCGGAAGGCACAATAGTGATAAACCACTTTTGCGAGGGAACGCAAAAAGAAAAAAAAAAAAACCCATGTCCCATCGTAGGTTCAGTACACTGCAGCCAGAGAGGCAGATCAGACCATTTTCACATAGTTTCTGATTAATTTCTCAGTAAAAGAACTCATAATCTTGTCAAGGTAACTTTCAGTTTAATCATCAGCTGCTGTTAAAAAAAAACTCTAAAATGAATAAATAAATAAAACCTGGCCTTTTTTAAAATCACATAAGAGTCCTTATCAGTCCAACAACAAATCTTGAAGATTTGGGAACATTTGCTCTTTATTTGCCAAAGTTACCTGGATGGAACCAAATATTATTTAGGCTTCTAAGATACAGTTTGTACTGTTTCACTTAAAGAAAACTAATTTTCTCACCGCATCTTTGATTAATTTGTCCAGCTGTAGACTAGGTCTCTGTCCAATCAGAGCAGGTATTGTGTAGTTTGTGCTTTTAATCGGTTTTCAGTTCAATTAATTCAATCAAAGTCTATGGAACAGTCACAAAATGTCACCAAAATCACTCTGTTTCTCTAAAATAGTTCAGAAAATCGAATCGTATCGTTCGTTGAATATCGTGATATATATCGTATCGTGAGCAGAATATCGTATATCACATCGTGAGATTAGTGTATCGCTACAGCCCTAGAGACAGACTGTTACCTGACACAGTGTTTTCTGACATTGTTACCTGACACAGTGTTTTCTGACAGTGTTACCTGACTAAGTGTTCTGCCAGCTCAGACAGGACTTCTTCAGGACAGTCGGTCAGTCTTCGCTCTAAAACTGAGACAATCTCCTCGGGGGCCATAAAGGGGGCTTCAGTCTGTCTGCTGCGATCTTGGCAAAGGTAAAACAAGTTAATTAGTCTCATTGAGACACTTTGGTTTCCTTCCAGGAAGAAAACAGCTCAGAGGAGAAGTTCCAGCCAAGCAGCCAATAAACATCAGTGAGCCTTTRAATGTTTAATGTGAGGATTAAATGTTTGGTGGTCTACTTTGCTGTGAAGGTGCAGAGTCTTCATCACTGTCCTCGTCTTTCCGGCCCTTCTTCTTGGTTTTACGGATGCGGATCTCTCTGGCGTTTCCTCCTCCTCCTGATTTCACGCTGCCGCTGCCCTCTGAGAGATGAAGCTTCCCAGATTAGAGCACAGAACAGGTCAGGGTCAGAGCTGGTTGTGGGTCTGAACACACCTGTAGCCTTCTTCCTGCGCTCTGCTTCCCTCTTCTCCTTTCTGGAAGGTGCTGAGCTGTCTGTCAGGACAGCCGCCTGCTTCAGGTCTTCTTCAGTGATCAGAAACACCGGATTGTTTTTCACTTCCTGAAACAGAAACCACACAAGATGGAGATCCTTTATATTATAGATCTGACCCTCCAGGACCACAATCCTGCATGTTTTAGTTGTTGATAGACAGATTGCAAAGCGTTCTACACTAGGTTCTCTTCTTTATGGCCTCATAACAGCCAAAGAAATCCTCCTTATTGTTGAAGAACAGCTGGAAGGTGAAAACTATCCAACAAGCTGCAGCCWATTTAATCAAATCCATCAAATCTTCCTGAAGTTAACATTTACAGGTTCAGTCCCTGTTTAAACATTCTTCAAACTGGTTTGTTTTGTATTGAACCAGGGGTGGGCAATCCTGGTTCTCGAGGGCCGCAGCCACACGTTTTACATTTTTCCTTGCTCCAACAAACCTGATTCAGTCATTCATTTACGTCTTCTAAGCTCTGCAGTATGGAGGACCGACACTGACATAATTAGAGAAAAAAGCAGAAATACAGTATACTGTATATATATATGAACCACTAAATAAATAAA